ATAATGAGGCTAGGTTAATAATAGTAATAATTATCATAATGTTTTCAATTTAATTCAGGGGTGAAGAGAGGCGCACGGCGTGACACGGAAAACAAACACACATTTAGAATATCAGTTATGAGTCCAGATTTAGCCGAGCATAAGTAGATTTAAGAGAGCCTTTAACGGGACAAAATGGTTTGGAAAGAGCGAGCAAACACTCAGCATTAATATTTCAGAGATATCAGATACACAATGACTGGAAGTATATTACGTTCACTTCAGCAGGAGGCTTTACAGAATCACATATGGACTCTAGAAGAAGGAACGTTATAGTCCAATAACTTACTTTCATAACAAGCTTGAAATATACCCTTCATATTTCCCCTTATTATAGAAATCAGAGGTGTGAAGTAGGGCTGTACCCGAATATCCGAATATTCGTTTGTTGGGAGTACTATTCGGGTTTCAATTTTGTTATTCGGATATTTAGCAACAACAATTTACGATACGATATTACTTTATTTCCTTAACTTCCTGTCAACAGCGCTAACTCTCCTTCAAAATAAAAGCATGTCCATACAAAATAGGAAGCCAAATTACACTTAAGACATACAACTGCAACGAAAGCAACAAACACAATGCGATATCCTTTTCAATTTCAAAGAACACAAATTGGGTTACATTAACAAATAACTATAAAACAACAATACTGTAGAATAACAAAATGAATGCCGTGAATAAACGAAATACACGTGTTGAAGTGTTGAAGTGGTTTCCCCCCCCCCGCGCTGGCCGAATATTCGAATATTCGCTGCTGATTACTACCGAATATCCGGAGCCCGAAAAATGGTATTCGGGACAGCCCTAGTGTGAAGGGATGAGCTGCCAAACCATTTTGTAATAAAATGAAAATAATTCAATCCTGTTAATGGAAAGCTGTGATGCAGGCTGTTTTTCTTAAAGCACATTCAAGTATCAAGCCTAATTTACTCCTATTTGATGGATTTTGCTAGCTTATAACTTAACTTATAAGGCAATATACCTCGAGTGAGTGGCCCATCACTTCTGTGTTTTTCTGTATGTGGCCCTGAGTGAAAAATGTTTGGACACCCTGGTCTACAGGATAAACACAATAGTTACACAAACACACAAGTGAAGAAGTTAGAGATTATATTGTTGTACATTCTAATGGTAACAGACGCACATTTGTGCCATGAGATAATTCAATTTTTTCAACCCGAGCAATACAATTCATGTGACGCTGTCTCAAGAAAGCCAATCAGCGATGAGATGATCCGCCTGTTGTTACTACTAACGTTGATGAATTAGAAAACAAAGAAGTGACAGTTCTTCATATTTGTAGAGAAACTGAATAAACTACACTCTGCCTAGGGCATGGAAAATGAATGTTGCTTCTTTATTTC